TTTTTTGCACTCAAACGCCCAAGTATGTCCATGGCTCTGTAGCCTAGCCTCCTTCGCCATGGCGCGGAGTTTTGGGAGTTTTGGACGAGCAAATTCTCCTGTACATCTTGAGCATTGGTGGCTACAAGGAAGGGCTGCTGTGCGAAGGGTTAACATGGCAGCCACAACAAAAAGCCAAGCAGCTCGGCAACCCAGCATTCTCAGCACGGGATATCTGTCAACTTTCATTCTGGGATTTAATATCGAAATGGATGGCCAACAACTTACACAATGATTCAGGCAAAACCAGCTGCCAGCTGAAGAATTTTCAGAATCCTGGTTGCATGCAGGGCTGGAGGCCATCGCGATTAGGTTGGAGGCCACCGCTTCTAGGTTGCAGGCCATTGCTGTTAGGTTCTATATTATTATTGTCTTGTATATTATTATGATGTGTTTCTTCCATGTCGTTTTCGGACGAGAAAATTGCCACCATGTTGCATGCAAGCATCCAAACCTCGACCTCCAGCAAACCGCCCGCCTGACATGAGGCATTCGACCCCACAGAAGAGCGCAGCCACATACGCCGCCTTGGCTCGGGACTCGAACTTCTCCACAGCAGCACCTAAAAAGCAAGTATGCACTCTTCACGTCAAGCTCACATCCAACAACTCGAAAGAAAAACAGCACTTCTCAGATTATCCAACGCAATACTCGTCAAATGACTCAGTACCAATGACAGCTGTTGTCAAGAAACCGCGTCATGTTTCAATGCTTTTGTAACTTGCATGCTTTTGGAGGTGACGCTCCCTGTTAGACGACCCGCATGACGTTCACCCGCCTGTGACCGCCAACATCTGCAAGATCCACAAGTCCAGGGGCAGCGGAGACACAAGCCCTCGCCCAAGCATCTGTGTGCTGTGGGTGTGTGCATTCACGAAGCCTGGCCGGGAAGAAAGGATCTGGGGTGGTGATTTTCATTTCATTCGCATCCGTTCGGAAGCCAGTTGGCTTGTGGAGGTTAGCGGCTAAGGCCAAAAGCTAAATTAAGCTCAGCACGTCAGCGGAATCACCATTTATTGTTGCCACTTCCGAGCAAAATGGGATCCTAGCACGATGCAAACCATCCAGGCCTTTCTGTGGGCCGCGATAGGGCGGCCGGGACGGCCGCTCATTGTGGACCTGCCATGCTTTTTGGATCATGACGGCCCAGTCATGCAACTGCACAAGAGTCCTACCCTGCGGTTCAGACATCAGGCAAGTCCTCCACCAATGCATGCCCCTCTCATCAAGGTCGCCCTGCGTGCCCCATAGGAAGACCATGCCGAGCAAAATGCCCATGTCCACATCTTCCCATTGCTGGTAGAAGGTTTGCACTGCATTTCCAGTGGCAGCAGCCTGAGCGCATTCCTCTCCGATAGCTTGTAAGAAGTCAGGGTCCGGATGGAAGGAGACCCCAGATCTCTCAAGCTCTTCTTTGAGGTCGAGAAAGTTCTGCTCCAAAGTGGTGACATCGTCAACGGTGGCTCCAAAAACCCGAGGTCCATGGAGCTGCACTGCCTCCACTCTGCATGCCCCTTTCAGGGCCACAAAAGAATCTGCGGGGAGGCCCTCACGCGCTTCTTCGCTCACCCCAAAGGTTTGCAGCCATGAAGCACAAATGTTGCCAATGCCCTTCCGGGAGACATACCTCAAGTGAATTCGAAGGCGATTCTTCGTCCAGTAGTGCCTAAGGCAGACTGGACAGGTTGCCCCGTGGAGGTATCCCGAGATTGGCGTGCGCCATGAATGGGCTGTCGTCTGATGCATTCGCAGCGCTTTCAAGGAGGCAAAACCTTGCCCGCAGTGGCATTTGCAGTGCACCTTCATCCAGAGGTCCTGAAGAGTTTCCTCTTCTTCACCACGCTCCACAGGCGCAGTGTGCAAAAGATGCATGATGCACCGGTATTTTTGCACTGCTTTCCGCAGCACATGTTGCCAACCTGGTTTCTGATGCTGCCAAGCCTCCCAAAGCGCCGGCAAAGTAGTCCCCCACGTCGAGAGATCCACCATGGCATGAAGCCATCCGAGGTCCTCCGTCACCATGCCTCGCCAGCTTTGCGCCATCTCGGCCTCTTCCCGGAGCAACTCCTCGTGCACAAAGGACGGTGCAAAGCGAGCCACCCGTGCAACGAGAAGAAATCGTTGTCGCGAGATCCGCACCATAATCGGTGCACATCCCGTCCGCTGCAAGATGGCCAAGTCACTAAGAACCTCAGCATCATGAGTCTTCACCTGTCCCAGAGTCCGCCTAAGCAAACCCAAGTAGCAGACCGAAAGTTTGTGCTCATCCGCTAGAGTTAGGCCATTCCAACTGCCACATCCATAAAGCAGCTTAGTGAAAACCAATGTCTCCAGCAGGAAAATGCGTGTGGATTCCTTGAGAGCCTTGTTCAAAAAGACTGGCCGAGCAAGTTGACGAAATGCACCCCATGCCTGTCCTACTCTGCGCTTGACCTCAAGGTGGAGACGTCCTGCCGCGGCCATGGTAGTCCCCAAGTGCTTATATGCATTCCCCAAGACAAGGCACATGGTAGATGACGATGTTCCCACCTGCACAGTCATCTGGGGCTCTCTTCGAAGTCTTTCTGGGAAGGCACGGGCTTCTGGACCTGCATAAGTCACTAAAACTTCTGTTTTGCCCCTGCTCGTATTGAGCGTCATGCCATATTCATGGAAAATGTCAAAGACAACACCGAAGGCATACTTGATCTCTGCCTCCATCCCAGCGTTGCTCATAGCAAGGAGTGGTACGGCTAAATCGTCAGCCCACACCACTTGTACCGCTTGAGTGCCAAGGGTTTCTCGGGCATGCCGCTGCTGGGGCCGGGCCTGCAAGTGAGTTTCAATCTTGGCAACAATGGGGCTCATCAAGCAATGGAACAAAGCATCCGCCAAAGGGCTCCCTGGTCGTGAGCCTCTTGCGGTGCGCACGCCTCTACCATGGATAGTGGACCATGTGTATCCGTGCAGTTCGCGCATGAGTGCCTTCAAGGGCCCTTCAGGAAGAACTCCATGAGAGTGCGTCATCTTGTGTATGAGGTCATCCTCGAAACCTTCCTTCTTCAAAGTTTCTTGGAGCGCCATCAGGTCCACATGTCCGCCAAGATCCTTCCCTAGAACCAGCTCCCTCACCAAGGAGTGAAATGCCGCCCTCAAGTCCACAAAGAGGATGGCGCTGGGAAGCTTAGCCTGGTATGCGCGCCTCATCAAAGTGCGCACATAAAGACTTCCAAAAAGGCACTCTTGATGCGGAAATCCTCCGAGTTGCCCCGGTGGTGACTGTTCTGAAACTTGAGCCATGAGGGCATCACGGAATAGGGCATGGATCCGGCGGACGAGTACTCCAAGAAGCATCACCCCTCTGAATTGCGAAGGTTCTGTGGGCTGGATCACCTTTGGCAACATGTAGAGGGTGCCGCCTTTCCATTGAATGGGCTCGTTCATGGTGTACATCATCTTCAACACAGCGTCGTACACCCATGTGCCCATTGCCCCAGCTGCACAATGAAGCCACGTCGACTCCAGGCCGTCTGGGCCACTAGCCTTCCCAGGTTTAGTGCGCCTGAGGGAGACTTCTATTGCTGTGAGAGTCGGGAGGTCCGCGAAGTGGTGCACACAGTTCTCTTCTTTTTCCTGTGGCTTTGCAAGCACCTCCTCATAGAGTTCCTTCAATTGGGTTGGTGTGCCAGCCTCCAACAGGCAAAGATGAGGTTCCCATTGTTCCCTCATCGCTTCCTGTTGCTGTGCACTGCGAACTTCTCGTCTCATCTGCATCTTAGGGAGGTACATCTTGACCTTCTGCCACAGCTCACGAGTGCTTCCACTGCAGTCAACTTCACCCCAACTCTGCTTCAGCTGATCGAAGAAGTGGTTGGCATCTCTCCTCAAAAGAGTGGTGGTCTGGTTTCTCACCTGGCGAAAATGCTTCATTGCATGAGCCCAATGCCTTCCCATAAGGCGTTCAAAAGCCGCTAGCCATTCCCAAGAGGGGGACTGGGCCGATTGTGCCCATGCACAAAAACATGTCCTCAGGGAATGTTGCTTCATCCACGTTTGCAGCTGTAACATGGTCTTCCGCCAGGCCGCCTTCACAATGATAGCATCCTTAGTGTCTGTAGCAAGATAGGGCTTGCGGTGAAAGCGCCCCCTCAAAGGAAGGACAGTTTGTATGCCTTGGTTGAAGCGCTTCACGAGCTCATGTGCATGTTGATGCATGTCCAGGTTCCATGGGATCGGAGCCATAGTGTCAACAACCTGGCGCATCACAAATGGCCCATGAAGGGCGTCCAATTTCTCTCTGGGCGGTGCTCGACGACTCCGTGTGAGCTCGGGGCTTCCGCCAATGGTAGCAGTGAGCTGCATACATGTAGCCAGATGATCATGCAAATGTTGATGGGCCTGGAGCCCAAAGTCATTCCAAGTACGTAGTCTGGTAGTAGTCCACTTCAAAGGTATGGCCACATAGTCCAATCGTGCCTTGGCTCCATTGCGGTGGATCCATGTGTATGTAGGTCCCTCATGTATACCCTCGAAGGTGGCAGGCAAGAAGAGACCTTGCCGCAGAAGGAACTCATGCAAGAGTCCTCCAGCTATGGATTCATCATCACCGCCCCAGGCTCCTATGGCCGTAGAAGTCACTTGGCCGACCCTTGCGTTGAAATCACCCATCAGGATCATTTCTTTGCCTCTTAGATGATCTGGTATTGCTCGTTGAAAGGTCTCCCAGAAATCAGTGAGCTCAGCTACAGTGTGCCCACTGTGTGGGACATGTAGATTTGCAATGAGGAGATCCACAGAGCCGGTCCACAATCTCGTCAAGATGAATCTGTGCGAGCTTGCCACCACAGTCCATTGATCTTCATGAATTCGTCGCACCTGACCATCAGCCTCAATGATCTGGAAGAACAAGGTATTGAGGGCTAACATGACACCGCCATGCCCCCTTTCAGCCGGGTGGCACCTGATCATATAGTGATCATCCCTGAACGCCAGATTCTTGAGACGCGTTTCTTGAAGGGCCGCGAGGGCAATATTCAACACATTGCAGGACATTATGGTGCCTTTAAGTGCCACTTCTGCCCCAGGCGCCCTCTGGTCCTGCCAGCCTGCCAAGGTTGCAGCTACCTCTTCATCTGCCTCCTTTTGCGGTCTTGGGAGAATCAGCCGGTGGCCATGCCAAAATTCTCGAAGATCTCGGCGGTAGAGTAGCCAAAAGGACTGTGTCCACATGTTTGGGAGGGTCTCTTCACACCGAAATCCTTCCCAAAATGCATCTGTTCTAAATCTGTTGATGGCCGCGTGCTTTGCAAGAACATCAGCTGCTTCGTTGCCAGGGTGCCCTAGGTGTGCTTTGGTGTGATGAGGCTCAACCAAGATATCATGTGCAACCTGGACCATGTGCATCAGAGCCCTGGCCTTCTGACATTGTGGATCCGTACTGGAGTAAAGTCCAAAGACAACCCCAGCAGCAGAGTCAGAGTCAAAGCAAAAGTGCACAGCTGGCTTAGCGCTCCATGATCGCCCCACTGTACGAAACAGATCATGTACCCATTTCAGGGCCATCATTTGCGCCGCAATTTCACCATGGTAAGCATCAATTTCGCCATGGAGATGATGTTGTAGAGATCCACCCCACATCCATTCTTCACCCCATGCCCATAGGGTCACCGCAGCTCCTGTTCCGTATTCATCCTTGGAGCCATCAAGGTAGAACCAGAGTTCTTTCACCTCCTGAAGCTGCCATTGAGGGAGAGAAATCCAAGGATAACTATGATCATGCCAACGAAGCTGCTGATTGAAATGTGGTTGCACAACGTGAGTATTGAACCAATTCAAAGCCTCACAGGCCTCTCTGAAGTCAATCCCAGGGCCCTCACTTCCAAATGTACTACAGGGGGCAAAGGTTGTCCCCAGGATCTCTTCCAAACGCAGCGGGACCTTCTTATTGTCAATCTCCGCATCCGTCTGAAGTGGTAGGTTGTTGTTGACTTCGCCATTCTCCCCTACCCATTCGTTTTGATCGAGCCATGTATGTGCATCCTGGAATGTGTCAGCATTCAAGTCCTTACAGAATTGCATCACGAAGGGATTGTGGCAGACTTCTCCATCCAAAGTGGCCAGGAAGTTATCCACAAATGCACTTAGTTGCCGTCCAACTTCAGCAGAAGATCGCATTTCCTCCATCTTTGTGGCCTCTTGGGAATAGGTGCTATTCTGCAAGGGCAAGGCAGCTTGTTGACTTCGAACTGCCTCCACATGAGTCTCATTCTCTGCATGCACCGAGGCCCGACTCGTGTTAGTAGTGCCCTGTATGAACTCCAGCCAAAAGTCATTGTCACATCGTGGGTCATAATGTCCACCACCCGCTTCGTCCTCATCATCTTCCACCCATGGATGAAAGCGCACAGGGTTGCCAGGAGGAGAGAGCTTCTGAAGAGCAAGAACCTCTTGGCCCGGCCAGGTAACCTGCAGCAAAGCCTGGTCATCTGACTCCTGAGAGGACATACCTTCATCAGGTGCATTGTCCTGACAACTGCCTGGATCTTGTCCATCCACCCAAACTTGAAGATAGCTTGAGTGCGCCAGTAGTCGGGCATGCGGATCTTGTTGCTCCCAGGGTGCGAATCCGACTTGAATTAGGCATCTAGAGATGCCGTACTTGCCACACTCTTTCGTCAGCCCTAGCTCTTGAATGAATTGTAGCCTGGTGAGAAGGTGGGGAATCACAAGAACCTGCTTGTACTGCACGTCAGAAAAGTATAGGCCAACCAAAATCACACTCTGTGTGGGCATGTAAGAGCCCGGCATAGCCAGAACCACCATCTTCTCACCCATCGGTCTCCCAGCCGGTTGGGGCTTGACCTCCAAGATCAAAGCGTTGGTGCGGTCTGTGTCAAGCCACATAGCCCCCAAGTGGTCCAAAATGCAGGACCGTAGGCCAGTGAGCCAGTGTCCAGGTGCACATCGAAAAATAGACGGGAATGGGGAATATCTCTGATACACCTCATAGACGTCAGAGATTTCTCGTCTGATCCTGTGTCGCTGCATCAAGGACCGGCCCGATACCATTTGTCGGCTCATTCTGGCAATCTGCTGGTCCAGTCTGGGTCGCTTGCATCCTCTCGGAGCCGCTTTCACAAAGAAGTAATCACCAGCTTCAACAGGGAAATCGTCATCCTGCTCCACTGCCACTCCATTGTGCCATAAAGAGACCGGTCGTAGTTCTTCATCTTGTTGCCAGGTTCTCCAAATGTGCAGCAGGCGAGGTCGTGATGTTTGTCTCCAGAGCCGGAAGGCCAGGATGTGCGTGCTCAGCAGGGGTATCGAATCTTCGTCACTGGATTCCATCACCACAGGTGTATTCGTGCCAGGTGGTCCCAGGTCGACCACAACCAGAAGAGCAAACTTCTGCAGGAGAGTTGAGACATACGCAGTAGGGTGCAACTGCACCTGCATAAATGCTCGCTCCCTGAAGTCAACCCAGAGCCTCCTCATTTGCCTTCGAAGCCATCTTTCATCATGATAGAAGTTGATGGCTCCTCGTAGAATCCCCATGCCTCCAGGCGGATTGCGCCCTGGTCGAAGACAGAGGTATTCTCCTTCCCGCATATAGGTGGGGACCAGCATAAAGAACTGCCATCCATCCATAGAGCGCAATCTGCCCATCCACGGCAGGGTCCCATCGTCCCCCTTGCAATCTCTGTACTGCTCTGCGGCTGACCACAATAGTCAAGACATCGCCATGTTGGACAATAAGGCGATGGAAAGGTTGCAAGAGGACTCCGTTGTGCTCAATCCTCATCTCCCCACTGAGTGCCTGAGCTGTCACTGATCTTCGGGCTAGTACATCACGAACTCGCACCTCGGGTTCAATGAACTCGACTTCAGCATAACTGGCACAGTGGTCTTCCAGCTGCAAGATATATTCCACATACCAGCATCGAGGTTCTGCGTGGGCAAACAACTGATCTTGGGGTGCTAGGACAACCACACAACCAGGCGGCTGTGCTACCAACGTAGTGTCAGGCCAAAAAGCTTGGAAATCCCACTGGCCATCTTGCAGATCCGATACGGGACATTAGAAGTGTCACTGTCCACGAGGTTATAGACAGTGAGCGTTCGTTCCCTATCAGGTTCCCGGAATAGCCGCAGAAAGCCCGCATCCACGGCAGCAGCCCAAACCCTGGTGACCTCCCAGTCAGCCAAAACAGCAACTTCAACCGGCAATTCTGGCACATCAAGAGGTGCTTGTGAAAAGGAGGTCATTTCTTCTTCCTCCAGCATCATGAGGGTTCCATCATCATGGTTCGGCCGACTCGAGCCGGAGAACGGGAACTGAAGAAAGGAGGCCGCATCCCCAAAGGTGGATGTGTCCTCATGGATTGGTGGAGATCCCAAGTCCATTCGCGCCAGAGGTTCTCCACACTGATCCTGATACTCACCCACCTCAATGTCAATGCGCATCCAGCTTTCCAGGAGCACCCATTGGCTCCCCAGGGGATGAATTGCCCCACATCTTACTGAGCATACCTGGTCCGCACAATCTTGATCAAGACCCACAATCTGCAGCAAGCTCCATTTGTTCTGTCTCCTAGTGGCCAACAACGGCCTCAAAGTGATTGTCGATCGGCCATCGCGAATTTGCTCAATCACCAACAGCACTGCAACCTCATAGGCCCTCAGAGCCCGTGGGACAGCCAACAAATGCATGCCGTCCAAATCCTGTGCCTGCCACGGGGTAGGCTGGGGCCTCACAAAGCCGAACTCCAGCATCTCCCATGGGGGCACAGCATTCTGTACCGCTCGTCTGACCGCAACAATAAGCTCACGCTGCGAGATGCCCCCTTCACCCATGGGTTCCACGAAATAACCATTTACCCACGTAGCATGGATGATCAGGGGAGGCCAACGTTCACGGGCCCAGAGAAAAGCTCCCATATCATGCTGGATCAGATCTAGCCCATGCATTCGTGTGTTGACTTCCCATAGGGCTTCATCTGGAGTCCTGCCTGGAGCTTGCCCCGGCTGCGGTGTGCGTGGATTCGCGCCATGAAAGGGAGGTCCCCTCCATTGAAAGAAACCAACATGATCGTCGTCCACCATCTCTTCTTCTGCAATCTGGGGAAACTGCAATTGCAAACTTCCATCGCCCGATCCTTCTTGAGATGACCAGGTGACTTGAGAACTTCCTGGCATTGATCCACTAGAGAATCCTGTTTCCGTTGTGCTCCCGTCATAGGGGTGGGCACGAATCAACAGCAAATCACCAGGCCGGAAGGTGGTCATCCTATATTGGTTTACCAGAACACCATTCCTGGCAATCTCCAGGTCGTAGTTGATGTCGGCATGTAGACCAACCCATTGGATGATGTTATACACCTGCAGGCTCTGTGTTGCCACATATGTCAAAAGAAGCACATGCTCTGGTGATTCATATCGGACAGCAATCGGGACGTCCATGCCACGACAGTTTTCGACCATCAGCAATGATGGAATGTTCTGGTAGATCTCATAAGCCAATGGGAACACCCTGAAGTGGTCAACATTCATCGGCTGTCCTTGTACCTGACACCAGCTCCCGAGGTCTCGGAAGGGATGTGGCGCCAGGAAAGTTTCCACTGGACACTGAACCTCCTGCGTCCTGGTGGCGTGTCCATTAAAAGCCATGCAGTGAACAAGCAAATGTTGTGGCATAGAGCGCCATGGAAGTCCCCTCCAGTAGCCCAGAAGAAATCTTCTTACTTCACATATGTTTGCCTCCAAATTGGTATAGTGCAGCGGTCGGTCAACGGGAGGAGGCCCACTGCTAGCCAAAGAGACTGTGACTTCAGGAGATCTCGTCGAGAGAGTATTGGGTGGGGTAGTTTCTGTGTTCAACTGCATAAAAAATCCCCCATCATGTTCCTCCTTCGACTGTCCAGGCCCCTGGGTGTGAGCCACCGCGCCCAAGTGTTAGGCGCTCTGGATCAGGTTCTTCCCACCAAGATGCTGCTGAGTCGGAACTTGATGAACTATCCGTTGTGAACCAAGTGCTACAATCGGAGAGATCATCCTCATCCTCATTCACAGGGATTTCAACAACCTTCAGACGGCTGCCGGATTTGGCATGGAATGGATGAGGCCAAGCCCATCGTTCCTCTGCCAGCTCGACAAAGCATGTAGCCGAGCTTGCACAAAGATTAGCAGGTGAAAGAAGCTCAAAGATACGTTCTGTCGTGAAGGGATCCCAACCTTCACGAAACAAGACCGTGCCCCTAGCATCCAGCACTTCCGCTACAAAGAAATCCACCAAGAAGATGTGCCCTGGAAAAGATCCCTCTGTGGTGATCAAGAGGACGTCCAAGGCCCCCCTCTCTTCTCCACGCACGGGAGTCAGCTGAAGTGGAAAACCTTCTCTTGCTTCCTCAAAAGCCGCACCTAACTGGCATTCCAGGCACGCTCCAATCCTCAGGGATCCACTGTCCTTTTTGAACTGATTGGCATCCAAATGATGGTGGAAAAAAGTTTGGACGCATCTTTTGCCGGCAGTTGATTTCCCATCCGAAAACCCCAAAGATATTGGCATACCCTCAGGATGAGAGCAGTCCCCTGTTTTCATCGTCCGTTGCATCAAAGCATTCCCGTCATCATATAGGTCATCCGCCTCAAAGTCAAAGAAGTTGGTCACCGCACCAACCCCCTGAGCACAAAAAGGGGCCAGGAAGTAAAAAAGCACAGCAAGCCAACCATTCCATGTTCTTGTTCCTGCCAGCTTCTTTCTACCATGATGCCCTCCTGCCCTTCGGTCTCGCCAGCTTCCAGTGCCATGTTCGGCTAATCCCCATGCTGCCCAAAACCAAGGCGCAATTAAGGGAAATCCCCAGACTCCTAAACCCCAAAGAAGTCCAAAGGGTGCCAAAACATAGACCTGACCAAAACGTGACCGAATGAACAAGATCCAGGGACCCCCAACTTCCTGTTGAAGGACTCGTTCATTGTCATGATCAGCGCACAGCTCTTCATGCCAGCCGTCAGCCTGCCCAAAAAGAGCCGCCCATAGCAAAGATGTCAAAGGAAGATGCCCCAAACCAAACTCCACGACATTCAGCTTCACAGCTTGTCGTCCAGGTCTTCTGGCACTTTCTTCCCTTGTCCATCCAGCTTCGGAATCTTGGAGGGTTGCCCAAACGGACACATGGCATTGCGCTTGTTGAGCTTGTCCACGTCCATCTGGAAAATCTCTGCCTCTGCGCCAGATTCTTGTGTCACCTGACTCATTGGCTTGACCGCCGCTTCGGTGCTCTTGACATTGGCTGCACTGCGACGTATCTCTTCTCGCAAGCTCTCCAGCTCCTTCATCTTTTGTCGAGTGTTTGGAGCTGGGTCTCGCGCTGCTGAATATAGCCTTGCCTCTGGTGCTCGAACTTCGTCTGGATGAGCGTAACAAACTCTCTCCATCTCGAGTCCAGCAAGTCTACTTCTTTCCTGGCTGCAGCAATCTGTCGCTCCAACTTGTCCGCCTTGGAGAGATCTTGATGTCGCAGCTTCTTGCATGATTCTGGCGCCAGGAACTTTTGCACCTCCATCTTCAAGGTCTCTGGTGCGGAATCCCCCATCAGGTGAAGGAGCTCGGTGAATCTGTCCTTGACCTCTGGCTGTAGCACTTCGGCGTCCCCTTCCGTAGATGCTGTCGCACCTCCCGGGATCACCATCTGCTGGCCAGCTGCCTTCACCGTCTCCTTGTCCTGCTCTTCCGACACTAGATCCACTGGCAGCCTGGTAGATGGCGTGCCTGGCTTCCATGGCGCACTCTTCTGCGGGGAGTCCACAAAAGGTGACAAAGTGGCCCCCGATTCTTTGGGCTTGCCCTTGTTCTTGTTCTTGTTCTTGTCCCCTTCGACCTTGGTCTGCTTTGCACGTGCAGACTTGGACCGGCCTCTGGCACCCACCGTACTCCAGCTCGTAGAGGTAAAGTGAGTGCCACATCCCGCACACCAGCTGTGCCGCTGGAGCTGCACCGAGCCGCATTCGCATCGCCACGCCGCTCCATTGACCATGGATTGCGGCATTTGGCTGCCGTGATGGCAGTTCAACAGCGATGCAGCTTTCGAATCCAGGTGTGTGAATCTGGATTGCCTGCGGTGCAGGCGGGCTCTGGCACGTGCACGGCGCTTGCGCCGATTTTTGTGCCACGAAGGTTCCGGTCGCAGGGCCGTGGAAGATGAACACCAAGAAAAGGGCAATCACCACAGGTCGCACCCAACCACCGCACATGCAGCGCGGGACGAGGTGCTAAGCCTCAACCTAGGACCTCTAAAAACGAGATCCACGAAGCCGAAACTTCTGGGGTGGTGAATGTACACAAAAAACATGCTATTAGGCTATTTGGTTGGAGGCCACTGCTATTGGGTTGGAGGCCCTATCAGGTTGGAGGCCATTGCATTGTTTACATGTCAAACATGCACCGTGAATGTGCTAGGTTCCCATACATGGATCACAATCCCGTCAAAATGCTAGAGTTCCAGTACTCTCTCGACCACACCGCATTTCCAATACCACACCGCTTCTCGACACCTCCAGTACTTGAAACAACATATTCCAACCTACTAGCGATGGCCTCCAACATCTCCAACCTAGTAGCCTTCTTGTTACTAGTAGCTTCTTGCTCCTAGTAGCGATGCCAGGAGCCCCGTTCGTAGCGAACAGTGTTCCTAGTAAGGCCAGGAGCCCCAAGTAGTAAGGCCAGTTCCTAATGGAAAAACGCAAAGAAAACGCAAAGAAACAATTGCCCGCAACAGTCTTCCTTCCATCAGCCTGGCATCAGCAACTTGTTCTTCCCGTCGATGACCCCCGCGCCAGCCGTCATCAGCGACTTGGGTGCCGCAACGAGGTCGATCTTTCCAGAAGTGCCTTTTCACAAGGCCGTCGATCGAAAGTCCCCACGGTCAATCCAAAGAAGCAAAACAAAGGAAGAAGCACGGTCAATGCCATGCCAAACACCTAAAGCATAATCACATTCAACCCCCCCTGCGGACGCAAGAAGCACCTTCTGGTTGTCAATTCTTCTGCGGACTTCAATAGGCAAGATGGGACGTGCACCGAAGGGTGCTACAATGCTACAAGTCAAAGCTTTCTGTGGAAACATTATTGGGACATTACAGCTCTCCTCTTCCCATCCCGTCCCTTTCCGGAAGCGTCCGAGGCCTAGGAGAACATCCACTTCGCGGTAACCATTGGGTGACAGCGTATCAAGGATGCTGACGCTACGCAGGAGCCACGGCCCCTCCTGCAGAGTTGGTGGGCCCACTTGACGGTCGTTGAGTCATTCAAACGTTCAAAGAAGTGAATGCGGACACCTTTCTCAGAAGTGAACGCAGATGGGATAGACACATCGTGACATCACGTTCATTAGCAAATCCAAGGCAAGACTCACTTTCACAGAATACGCAACTGATTCCCCTTCCCTCTCTCTCCTCTCGACTGGTGCCCAGTGTTCCACTCACTCACAAGACAGCAACGCCTTCCGCCGAGAGCGCCGGGCTCGATGCCACAGCATCCAAGCCACAGCAGCTGAAGCAGCTGAAGCGGCGGCCACGGCGGCCAGGCGCGTGCTCATGGCCCAAAATGGTCTAGAAGCAAGGACGCTACTAGTAACAAAGGGCGCGTGCCATGACAAATAGCTACTAGCTACTCATAGCTTCTTGCTACTAGTAGCGATGCACCGTGTTAGTAGCGATGCTCATAGCCCAAAATGGTCTGTGTCTCGAACTGGCCTGATTCCTTGTGCCAAACACAACTGTCCCACGCTGTTTGGATGCTCGCCGCGTTGCAGTCACGTGTTCAGATGTTGAAGATACAGTGTCTAAGAAACATTACTACTAGTAGCTAGAAGCTACTAGTAACAAGGGCACCGGTAGAAGTAGCTTTCAAGCTTACAAGTAGTAACGAATTAGTAACTAAGAAACATTCCACCTCTCGATCAGTCCATCAATTCGAACCAACCTCTCTCCATCTATCACAGTTCCCACATCAGTCTTCAATAGGGACTGAGTGCAGCCACTCCAGGCAACGTTGGAATATCCCGAGCACCAATACACCGACATCATTCCATGGAACTGTTGTGTCTGCGTTCATTGCTCTTAGCCAATGGCTCTTGTGAGGGTCCAGCGAGTCCAGTACACAATTCATCTACTTTGGGGAAACATGGGGAAACTAGGGGCCCCTGGCATCGCTACTAGGAGCAAGGACGCTACTAGGGGCTCCTGGCCGTACTACTAGGAGCAAGTAGCTACTAGTTCCTAGGAAACATCGTAGACTATAACTTCCAAGTCCTCCAAAATATGCTCAGATCTTCCACGCGTGCAGCACCAGAACACCTGTCATGACAAGCAGTCGAAATTGCTGAGCCTGGGCCTGGTAAAAGGATCGTTTCCCATGCTGCTGGCACGGCATCCTGCACGAGGGGTCAACATGGCCACAACAAAAAGCCAACCAGCTCAGCAAACCAAGCATTCTCGGCACGGAATATCTGTCAAGCTGGACATCGGGGTTTATCGAAAACCCGCGGTTGAAAATGATGGGACTCAGTTGAATGTTTTTGCTGCTTTGCAAAATGTTTGCAATGAGGCTGACCCTCCTGGATTCCGCCTCAAGCCTAATCTCAACAATGCAACTTCTTAGTGTGGTTGAGAAGCCGGGAATCTACGAGGTCATCTTTTGCAAGCAAACGCAAGCAATGTTGACCATGATGACACCCTAGGTATCAAGAGTGCATCATGTCCCAAACTAAACTTTGTGTGGACACAGCTCGCAGCGATCACAAAGCCACGTCTGAGGACACATTTGTGGAAAAGGGCAGAATGTCAGGAAGGCTGCGTGAACACTGCGCGAGCTGCAGCTCTGGAATCATTGCCCCTGACCTCATGAAAAGTTTCTATCAATCAGTGACAACTGTCAATGTCCATTGCCTTGGCTGGAGCAGCAGGAAAGCAATAGGCAGCTGAATTCATGCGACTTGTTCACCAACGCATTAGCATCCTAACAACAGTTCTAGAGTTTGAGCGCGCCAAACTGGAACAATGTCCTGGACTTTGGAGCTGCTTTTGCTTGGAGCGTAGCGGGCAAGGCTACTGCAAGTTTAAAAAGGATTGTATGGGCGCATTCTGGAAAGGGTCGCATGTGCTACACATGTTGCGTCACATGGTGCCAAGTGGCCATGGAACCTGGGGAAGTTGTCTGGAGATGGCGATGCCATAGCTTCACCTGTGACGTAAATGTAGGGATGTGTGACACGCCGGGATGTTGCAATCAAGGAGAAAAGAGCTTCAAGGCATTCTGCGCCTGCAATTCCTCAGCCACACTGTCGGGTGCAATCAAGTACGGCACAAAGCTGCTTGGTGCTGGCACTCTCTGTCAGTTGTCAAGCCAGCCATATCAACCATATCGCGCATGACCAAATCCGCATGTATAAATGGAACAGTTCCTGGGCCTACTTTGAGCCTACATTTTCCGATGTTCCACTGCACCTAGATTCAGAGATCAGTTGAACAAGGACAGCGACACACTACTCTGCAATGTCACTAGGCCCCTTCAACAACAATGAATACGCAAACAAGGAACAAACACCGTCAACTGTTTACTCCCAGTCGAGAGCGTTTGACTATTGGCGATTCCTGCAATATGTAAGAGAGACGTGAGAGAGTTCAAACTGATGCCTTTGTATATTGGACAAAGCTCTGCCAGTTTGGAGAATGCGCGATGCAACTCTCTTTCCAGTTGGCTGGTGGGCCCTGACTCCAATGCTTGTCGCAGGCCGTCAACCCGCAGTCTTGCTTCCTGCAGGGCATAGAAAGACTAAAGAACACTTCTACCATCTTCTACCACTAGTGCTTCATTTTGGGGGGTTCAACCCTGTTAGGCACAGCCCACATCAACCCAGAAAAACAAACAGAAACGCTGCAAACATGTTGCCCAAGCGTCAATACTGTAGCTGATTCCATCGGGAGTCAAACGCTGTATACCTGAGTGCAACACAGGAGATAGAAGAGATAAGCAGGGGCCATGCCAATGCAATTATCAACACACACTCTTCAAGGCTTGCTCCCAACTGACTCCAACCAACAATTTCCAAAAAGACTGGAAATGCCAAACCTTCGTTTCTACGCTTGAGGTTGCGATTGAACATGGTAGCGTTGCGCCCAGCTACTCATGGTCTCCAGCACGAGCCCAGCACGTTGCCAGCGTTCACACGTCAGGGCTGCATTGAGCACCACCACATCCGGCACAAAGCCCCCTCCTGGACCTTCACAAAGACTTTGTTGGAAGAGGTGCACACCCAAGCGCCACCTCGAGTCTCAAAACGTCTAGAAGAGACCCCAAAGAGACCCCGCAAAAAACTGAAGTGATACAGTGCTTCAAAAAACGTCTTGACAAATGTGTAAATCATGACATGATCCAAGTCACTGAGCTGACTTCTGGCAAGAGCTAATGACTGCACTGCAAGTGATGGCATCTGGCGTCGTGCTTGAATCGCGCATGGTGTTGAACAAGTGCATAGCACGCTCCCATTGCAAGCCCTTCTCACAGGCACTTGCAATAGAATTGTATGTCACAAGATCCGGCATAATGGAATGAATGTCAATCATCCTCATACAATGCAACGCCATTTGCCACTGCAAGCCCTTCTCACAGGCGCTAATGACAGCATTGTAGCTGATGATGTCTGGCACCAAACGCTGCAGCTTCATCATCCTCAGCAATTCGACCGCTAGTTGCCACATGCAGCCTTTCTCGCAGGAACTCATCGCTGCATTGTAGCTAACCACTGTGGGCCGAACCACATGCAAAGTCATGCGGCTGAGCAAAAGCAAAGCCTGTTGCCACTCCGAGCTCTTTCCGCAGGAACTGATAGCTGCATTAAAAGTTACGGCATCCGGCAGCACATCTTCTTGGATCATCATTTTGAAGAGTGATATTGCAAGCTTCCATTGCAGTCCTTTCTCCAAAGAGCTGATGGCGGCACTGTAAATGATCACATCTGGAGCTAACTCTTGTGCCTTCATGGAGTCGAACAAACACAGCGCCAGTTGCCATTGCTGCCCTTTTTCGCAGGAACTGATGGCAGCGCTATAAAGAATCACATCAGGTGTGACTAGTTTTGATTGCAGTGTGTTGAACAAATCCAGCGCGAATTGCCACTGCAAGCTTTGTGTGCAAGAGCTGATTGCGACGCTGTAGCTGATGATATCGGGTCTGAGCTGTTGTGAGCACATCATGTCAAGCAAGTGCACTGATCCTTGCCACTGCCCTGTTCTGCAAGAGTTCATGGCCCTTGTGTAGGCGCTAATCATGGTATTACAAAGGATAGCATCAGGGGTGATCCGTTGCGCAAGCATCGTACTGAAAATGACCACTGCAAACAGCCACTGCGAGGCCCTCTCCAGGGAACCAATGGCTTGACCGTACGTGATCAAATCTGGGAACAGTCTTTCAAAACTCATCTTCTCAAACATGTGCAGTGCATACCGCCATTGCGAACCCTTCTCAGCAGAACTGATGGCAGCATTGCAAACAATTACATTTGCTTGCAGCTTGTGGGCATGAGCCAGGTTCAACATGTGAAGTGAATCTTGCCATCTGCGCGCCCGCCCACAAGAGCTGATGGCCACTGTCAGCGTGCGCGGTTCAAGACTAATCCGGTGATCCAGCAAGCTTTGGACGGCACTTTCTAATATGTCAGAACGTTGCTCCGCTGTATTGGCAATAAACTTGTGAGCCGCCAAGGAATCCTTCCATTTTTTGCACTCAAACGCCCAAATATGTCCATGGCTCTGTAGCCTAGCCTCCTTCGCCATGGTGCGGAGTTTTGGACAAACAAATTATCCTGTACATCTTGAGCATTGGTGGCTACAAGGAAGGCCTGCCGTGCGAAGGGCTAACATGGCAGCCACAACAAAAAGCCAACCAGCTCAGCAAACCAAGCATTCTCGGCACGGAATATCTGTCAAGCTGGACATCGGGGTTTATCGAAAACCCGCGGTTGAAAATGATGGGACTCAGTTGAATGTTTTTGTTGCTTTGCAAAATGTTTGCAATGAGGCTGACCCTCCTGGATTCCGCCTCAAGCCTAATCTCAACAATGCAACTTCTTACTGTGGTTGAGAAGCCGGGAATCTACGAGGTCATCTTTTGCAAGCAAACGCAAGCAATGTTGACCATGATGGCACCCTAGGTATCAAGAGTGCATCATGTCCTAAACTAAACTTTGTGTGAACACAGCTCGCAGCGCCCACAAAGCCAAGTCTGAAGACACTTTTGTGGAAAAGGGCAGAATGTCAGGAAGGCTGCGTGAACACTGCGCGAGCTGCAGCTCTGGAATCGTTGCCCCGGAGCGCATGAAAAATGTCTATCAATGAGTGAAAGCTGTCAATGTCCATTGCCTTGGCTGGAGCAGCAGGAAAGCAATAGGCTGCTGAATTCATGCGACTTGCTCGCCAACACATTTGCATCCTAACAACAGCTCTAAAGTTGAAGCGTGCCAAACTGTCCTGGACTTTGGAGCTGCTTTTGCTTCGTAGCAAGGTTACTGCAAGTTTAAAAGGGATGGTTTCTTGGCACAAAGCGTAGGGGCGCATTCTGGAAAGGGTCGCATGTGCTACACATGTTGCGTCACATGGTGCCAAGTGGCCATGGAACCTGGGGAAGTCGTCTGGAGATGGCGATGCCATAGCTTCACCTGTGACGTAAATGTAGGGATGTGTGACACGCCGGGATGTTGCAATCAGGGAAAAGAGCTTCAAGGCTTTCTGCGCCTGCAATTCCTCAGCCACACTGTCAGGTGCAATCAAGTACGGCACAAAGCTGCTTGGTGCTGGCACTCTCTGTCAGTTGTCAAGCCAGCCATATCAACCATATCGCGCATGACCAAATCCGCATAAATGGAACAGTTCTTGGGCCTACTTTGAGCCTACATTTTCCGATGTTCCACTGCACCTAGGTTCAGAGATCAGTTGAACAAGGACAGCGACACGCTAGTCTGCAATGTCACTAGGCCCCTTCAACAACAATGAATACGCAAACAAGGAACAAACACCGTCAACTGTTTACTCCCAGTCGAGAGCGTTTGACTATTGGCGATTCCTGCAATATGTAGAGAGACGTGAGAGAGTTCAAACTGATGCCTTTGTATATTGGACAAAGCTCTGCCAGTTTGGAGAATGCGCGATGCAACTCTCTTTCCAGTTGGCTGGTGGGCCCTGACTCCAATGCTTGTCGCAGGCCGTCAACCCGCAGTCTTGCTTCCTGCAGGGCATAGAAAGACTAAAGAACACTTCTACCATCTTCTACCACTAGTGCTTCATTTTGGGGGGTTCAACCCTGTTAGGCACAGCCCACATCAACCCAGAAAAACAAACAGAAACGCTGCAAATATGTTGCCCAGGTGTCGGTGATTTTTGCACTGAGCTCAGTGAAGGTTGCCTTTCGTTCCTTCTCCATTTCTCGCACCAAAACCACCGAAGCCGCTCTCACCGACACCAAGCGAGTGCCCTTCGCCAACGCGTCGGCGGAGGGCGACGCCGGCGACGGCGGCGACGCCCGGGCAGCGTGGGCAGCGTGGCGGTCCAGCCGCGGCGATCCAGCTGCCTGCGGCGGCGAGTCGCTCCTTGGCGTTCAAAACAGGTCCAAAGGGCCTGTTTAAGGTGAACGGTTTTGTTTCAAAAGCATAATATACAAAAACCGTAGTTCAAATATCATTTCTATTGTAGCCATATATGACGATATATATGTATATATGTATAGCAGAAGTCTGAGCTGCTTTCGAGTTCATGAGAAACCATAAGATGTGGTCACTTTACGCTTGAAGCCCTTTTTGTTCGAAGTGAAAAGGATCGTGCGGATCCTGCTGTGGGTTATGAGCCCAAGACGCTTAGCGTGAAGGGTTCTTTTTTTGGACCTCGCGTTCGCTTTCTCGCCATGAGTGAAGAGGAGGTGTCTGAAAGGACACCAGAGAGCCCGAACATGCCTGCCATCGAGGACGTCCCAGCTTCTGCGGGGGCTTTGACATGCCCAAAAGGACCAACCAACGGTCTTGAGCCCAGACAACTGGAACCCTTTTTGGTCGGAAGGGTTGAGGGACGAGGCTATTCTTAGAGCCATCCGTCCGGCAGATCTCCCCTCAGAATCCACTGAGTTGCTTCCTGGTGGTACCCCGACAACAAGCCCACCACGTGATGTTCCAGATGCAGTTAAGGCTGTTTTGCAGGGCTTGATGAGTGAAAACGCTCGTTTGTGGACAGAGCGTGAGTCTTGGGGTCAACACCACATGAACCAAAGGTGGGGACCTTTTCCAAACACCATGAGCCAGCCAAATGCATGGGGGTCTATGTGGGGCACTATGAGTATGCCTCCTTCGACTACATGTTCACCTATGGAGGGTGGGCTGCTTGGCGCCTTGGTTGGAGGTGGCTCTCGGGGAGGGCAGGCAGGGAGCTATGCCTATTCCGGGGAGTTTGGAACTTCTGGTCAAAGGTCAACCCCAAAGACAAGCCTCATGGAGGTCTTCAACCGTGTTTCCGCGGCCGGTGGCTTGGTGCAGTCGATGATCCCAGGGGTTGCAGAGGTGTCCAAGACCTTTTCGAGGGCTTGCTCGGGAGGTCAGGCTGAAGGAACAGCAGGGGTGGTGCCCCAAGCGCCTAGTCACTATGAGATTGGGTCCTCCAAGGGTGGCACTCGTCCAGGGGGTGGCGATTCGGGACAAGATCAACAAAAGTCAACCTGTGCTCCAGGTGAAGCAATTAGTGAAAAAGAGCCGTCAGTGCGAGAGGCTGGTCAGCCTAGTGCCTTGGGTCCAACCGTGTCTGAAGCTTCGTCGGTGGGAGGTGGTCTTCATCGAGGGCATCTAGGTTGGGGAGCTCAAGGGCAAGGTCACATGGGTGGTCATGGTGGTCTCCATGGAGGAGGTCTTCCTGGTGCCGGTGGGTTTCTGGCAGGAATGGGTTTTCCTGGTCATCCTGGAGGTGGTTTTCCAGGGGGAGGCAATGGACTACATCATGGAGGTGGCGGTCTTCCTGGCGGAGGCTTTCCGGGCAACCCTGGCGGAAGTGAGGCTTTCCTGGCAACCCAGGTGGCGGAGGAAATCCCGGAGGTGGCGGCGGCTTTCCTGGTCCTGGAGGAGGTGATCCCGGGATGCCCTATGCAGGACTGCCGGCGTGGTTGGGTGGCATCATGGCTCAGCAAGAATCCGTGGGAGCGGTCGATTTGCCACCTCTCCAAGAGCTTTCGGAGTCCGGGGACTGGTTGACGACAGTGGGTCCCTTCCTGAGAGATATGAGTTCAAGCTCCTCCATGTGGTGGGACGAGGTGCTCAATGTGGCGGGGAACCTCTATCGGGAATGGCTGAATTCTGAGCCGATGGAACGCTTGAGGTTGATGCCGGTGGCTCCTTTGGCCTTTCAGCGCCCTCCATGGCTTCGCATTGAGCAGAGAGGATCCGTGGCGCTTTTGAAGGCGATTCCGGAGTCGATTCGAGCAGAACTGGTGTCGCAAAGGGAGGTGGGTTCTGTAAGCATCATCTTCAAGATCCTCAGGGTTTATCAACCAGGGGGACTGGGCGAGCGCACCACTTTGCTCAAGCAGTTGGTTGATCAAAAAGTTCCACAGCCTCTTGGAGAATGGTTGACATCGTTGAGGGCCTGGCGCCGGTGGTTGACGAGGGTGCAGGAGTTGAGAATACAACCTCCTGATCCGGTCCTGCTTCTTTCAACGCTGGATCGATTTGCCGCTGGTCTTGCAAAGCATTCGTCACAAGTTGCTTTTAGATTGCAGGTCACTCGCGCTGCTCTCCGAGTTGATGTGGCTCCAACGGAACATGGAATCCAGCAGTTCGCAGAGTCTCTGCTCGCGGAAGGTGAGGCGACGTTCCACAGTGGCTCAACGGCTCCTCTCAAAGATTCCGTGAAGATCAGAGCTTTGGACGGCGATGGCGGAGGAAAGGATGATGGCCCCAAATCTCGGGATGGCAAGGACAAGGCCAAGGACATCTCTGACCAGAAGGACCAGAAGGATGCCAAGAATGTGAAGTCCGACGCCAAGCCATCCAAGGGAGACTCCAAGGGAGGGTCATCTGAGAAGCCCGTGTGCCGCTACTTCTTGTCGGAGTCTGGGCGCAAGAAAGGGCAGAAGTGCTCGTTTCCACACGAATGGAAGGGAGTGTCGAAACAAGGTCGTTGTTGGACCTGCGGTTCAACTCAACATATGAAGCCGGATTGCCCGGCGAAGGACGTGCCGAAGGTCAAGAAGGAGATCGTTGAGGATGCGAAGGGCAAAGACGGAGGTGGAAAGGGAAATGAAAATGTGGGGATGTCGTCCGGGGAGGCTTCAACTCCATCTTCCTTCACTCCGCCTACAGTGCAGCCCTCGGAGGATCTGATGAAGGAGGCGGTCCAGCTTTTGAAGTCGTTGAGACCGGCAATCAAGGCCGTCAATATGCGATCCGTCAATCCAAAAGATGGGTCAACGAGAGCGCTTTTGGATGGAGGTGCCACTCACATCTTGAGGCCAGCAAGATCCAAGGCGGAGTTCGACAAGGCGATCCCCATTAAGGTGGAGCTGGCAGCAGGAGTCACAACACTTCGTCAAGTCGAGTCCACGGGAACACTGCTGACCGACTTTGAGACCCAGACCATCGTGCCTCTTGGAAAGGTGGTTCGACTGGGGTACAAGGTGAAATGGGAGGGAGAAACCTTTGAGCTGTGGAACCCCATTGGTGGAAGGGTGGAGGTTGAGCTGGAAGCTGGCTGTCCCACTGTGGATCTCAAGGTCGCCAACAACATGATCGCGGAGCTGGAGAAGTTCGAAATCGACATGAACCGGAGGGTCGCTGCTTTGAGGGCCGGAAATCCCGGTGACTTGGCTCCTAGCGTGTGGAAGTGGCTGGTTGATCTGAGATCGATGTGGCCGGAAGCTCCCGATGAACTCATTGCTAGGGTCATCCCAACTGGAAGGTGGTCTGGTGACCAAGTTCCTTTGAATCGTCGTCAACGTCAGCGCATCCTGTCGAGCTCTTCGGTGATCTTGCATTTGTTTTCCGGCCCCGACCAAGCTTGGTGGAGGAAACAGCTGGACTCAAACACCAGAACGGTGGTGTGCATTGACAAGTCAGTGGACGCTGCTCAAGATCTTCTGTCAGATCAGCTCACCAGCTTCTTGGTGATGTGGTTTTGGGAGGCCCTCCATGCAGGACGGTCTCGAAACTTCGATTCAGGAGACCTGGACCTCCTCCACTTCGCTCTCGGAGTGGTCCTGAAAGGTTCGCCCTCAGCGATCTGTCGGATGCCATGAGGGAGCTGGCTTTTGGAGACGCAGTGCTATGGATGAGGCAACTATGGCTGTACACGTTGGCAAGTGCGGCCAGGAGCTCCAAGGTCCTCTTCCTGAAGGAGAATCCACGAGACCCAGAGGAATATAAGTCTCCTGATGATCCTATCGAATACCCTTCGTTCTTTGCTTGGCCGGAATGGGAGGCTTTCCGGGACCGCTATGAGTTGGCGGAGGTGCGACTGGACTTCGGAGCCTTGGGTCATAGCCGTCGCAAGCCGACTACGCTGGGAACGAACATCCCGCTGCTGTGGAGTCTTGATGGTCTCCGAGATCGCCAAAATCATGAGCCTGTCGTGGGGGTCGATGCACCAATGGAGGAGCGATCTTCACAGAGCAGGGCATGGGCAGCATGGCCTCTTGGCTTCAAGGCAATCGTCTTCGAGTTGGAGGGGAAGGAGCCGATCTCCGGGGAGGGGAACGGCATCAACATGGCAAAGATGACCGCTGACCAATGGAGGGCACACGTTCTCAATGACCATGTTCCTTTCTCCCGTGAGTGCACAACATGCTTGAAGGGTGGAGGCAAGAGCCGTCCTCATCGCAAAGTTCCACATCCAGATGCAATGACGCTTAGCTTGGATGTGTGTGGACCCTTTCGACCGGGGGAGGACCAGTCCCTGTGAGAAAGGTGGCCCATGGAGAAGAGCCACTTCCTGAAAGCCTGCGAGAAGCGCTGGGGGAGGTGGAGGGTCATAAAGATGATGAAGGGGAAGATCAGCTTCTACCAGAGGTCCAAGAGGAGGAGGTGGAAGTTCATGAAGGTGATCCAAAGAAGCTTGAGGAATGGGAGCGCTTAGAGGTGGAGGCAGAGGATGTCGCCATCAAGAACTATACCATCGTCGAGACCCTCACTTCGCGAAGTGGTGCTGAGTTGAAAGCAGGGTTGGCTCGAATGGTGGCTCGCCTCAGGTATTTGGGCATGGAAGTTCGACGCATTCACAGTGATGCGGCCGGTGAGATGCGGAGCACTCGGCGCTGGTGTGAGGATCGAGGGATCTACCGCACCTTCACAAGTGGCAGCGACTGGAAGGCAAATGGTAGGGCTGAGGCGGAGATTGGGGTCATCAGAAGAGGCATCAACACGCTGATCAGGTCCTCTGGAGATGGTGAAGAGATGTGGCCGCTGATGGCTAAACACATCGGTGAACGTCGTGGTCGCTCGCAGCTGAAGGCTTTGGGGTTCGCTACGCCGGCGCTACTTCCCTGGGGGAGGAAAGTCATGGTGACGACCAAGGGCTGGGATGACTTCCAGGGTCACTGGAGACAAAGAAAGAAACCTGGGGTGATCCGAGGTCCAGATCCTGAGATGAGCCTCACAAGCAGCGGTCACTTGGTGGAGGTGGACGAAGGAAAGCTTGGCTTCAAGTATGTCCGCACCAATGACATTGTGCAGGCGGAGGACACGCCATCTCTGACCGATGTGCTCACGGTGGAGGAAAGACCAGAGCCAGCTTGCATCTTGGACGGAGCTGCAATTCCGCGTCGGAGGTTGGGGGAGAAGACTTCGTTGTCCTGTTTGACCACAGGGGAGCTACATGACCGTCTGCGTCGGGGTCAGCAATGGGCCAATGAGGAGTTCAGTCGCCTAGAGACGGAGAAGGACGGAGGTGGAGATCACATTTCTTTGGTCTATGACCTGGATGAGGAGAATGAGAAGATCGAGCAACTGGTCTCCAGTCAAGGACCTGTCATCAAGAAGTTGGAGGAGGATGCGGTGAAGGTCGCGGGTGATCAGGAAGAGGTCTTTCTACAAACCCGAACTGTGAGTTTGCAAGAAGTGAGGAAGTCTCTACCTCTCTGGGTGCCACCTCTTCAAACGGAGATTGACAACTTCGACGAGCAATTTTGCGAGTGGCAGCCCTTCATCAATGGGAATGCCTGTCGCTTGACGTCAAATCGGCTTTCCTCCTGGCTCCAAAGGCTCAAGGGGAGACTGTCATCGTCAAACCAATACTCGAGGAAGCAGGATTGGCAAAACCAGGGGAGCATTGGTTGGTCACCTCCGCGATGTACGGCCTTGTGACCTCGCCGAAGGACTGGAGCTCCTTTCGAGATGCCGAGCTGAAGAAGATGGAAGGGTCATGTGAAAAAGGGGACGGAGGGAAGCAGCTCTTCTCCTTCAGACCTATGGAAGACCCAAACTTGTGGGCTATCCAGGAGTTTGTCACCGCACCTGATGGAGCACGACAATGGGGAGAAATCCTCGGCCATATGATCGTGTATGTGGACGACGTGCTCATGGTTGGTCCAAGGAAAGTCACTGATGAAGCTTCCGCCACAATCCGAAGATGCTGGTCAACGTCGGCTCCGGAGTATGCGGCTATGGATGGAAGCTCAATGAGGTTTTTGGGCATCGAGATTCGTCGCTTGAGTGATGGGTCGTATTTCCTTCACCAGGAATGCTATGCCCGTGAAGTTCTGGAACGGCATCCCGGAGACTGCTCTTCTCAGTTCATCAAGACTCCTGATGAGAAGGAGGAAGAAGAAGCTCCATCACTTCCGAAGGTGAGGGAAGCTCAAAAGGTCACTGGTGAGCTATTGTGGCTCTCTGGAAAGATGCGCCCGGATCTGTCGTGGGCGGTGATGAAGATGGCTCAGAACGCAGTCAAGAAGCCGAGATGGACTTTAACTATGGGGGAGGCAGTGCTGGCATACCTCACATTCTCAATGAACTATGGATTGCACTACACGTGCCAGGTGCCACATGACTCTGATCCTGATCTGATGCGCAAAGTGCCTCGTCGTGCAGGAACTCTTGAAGTCCTGGTGGATGCTTCATTTTCTCCGGGAGACAGCCATAGCATATCTGGAACGGTGGCGTTGCTGGCTGGCTGCCCGATCCAATGGGAATCGAAGAAGCAAAGCCTGATGGCTCTCTCCACGGCAGAGTCGGAATTGACGGCTATTTTGGAGGGTCTCCAGGCTGGGAGGTCCGTGCGAGCCTTGATCAACCTGATCATGCCGGTGGTCGATTTGGAGCTGTACAATGACAATCGTGCTGCTGTGGTGCTGGCGTCGGGCTCTGGTGGAGGTTGGCGAACTCGGCATCTTCGCATTCGTGCCAGCTGTTTGTCAGAAGCTCTCAAAACAGGAGAAGTGTCCTTGAGTCACAGAACAGGCACCTCACTATGGGCTGATGGGTTGACAAAGCCACTTCCTGCTCATCATCTTGCTCGCTTCTGCCGAGGAGTTTGGCTGGGAAGCCCTACTTTGGGTGCGGAGGAGGGGCATACAAAAGACACCACACTCCTGCATTCGCCAGCGAATGTGAAAGTCCTCAAATCAATCTCGCTGCTGGCAACGGGCTTGGCGATGGTTCCAACAGCCGCCGCGTCGGAGACGTGTGAGATAAGGGAGTCCAGGGATTCTGCTGAGTCTGGTTCTTGGGCCGATCAAGGATGGATCTTGATCCTGGCGGGGCTGGTCTGCATCTTGCACCTGGTCAAAGATCTGGGCTGGGAGTTGGTCAAGCGCTTTGTGAAGAAAGGGGAGTGTGTGAAGGTCACCTTGCTTGATGAAAAAGCCGCTCTACCAGTCCGGGGAACACCGGGAGCAGCTGGATGGGATTTGGTCGCAATGGATCAGGTGACACTACAGCCGGGAGAACGTCGTCTAGTGCCTCTTGGCTTGTCATTGGAACTTCCTTTCGGGTGCTATGGAAGAATCGCTCCTCGAAGCTCCTTGGCGGTCAGGGGGGTCGACGTCGCGGGGGGTGTCATTGACCCAGACTTTCGTGGTGAGATCAAGATCATCCTGGTCAACAATAGTCCTGAAGCTTTCACCCTGCACCAAGGGGATAGAATCGGACAGCTGATTCTGGAGAGGTTCTCTCTGGCCTGCTTGGAACCTACTTCAATGCTCTCCACAACGGCAAGGGGCGTAGGAGGGTTCGGCAGCACTGGAGTCGGACCTATGTCATTGTCTTCGTCTTCGGCACTGGGCGCGGGTGGATTGGGCGGCACTGGAGTGGGGCCTATACATCGCGGTCGTCGTCGTCGGCGCGGGAGGCGGAGGTGGCGGAGAACAGGAGTCCGGCGGTGAGACGTCTGGCTTCGGAGAGGCCATCGGTTGAGGATGCTGACGGCCACACAGATCCAACATCGGCTGGACCCCACATTTTCTTTGAGGGTGTGCATTTCACAAAAGGTGAGGAGTCCCTGGCCCAGCTCATTCGACGACTGAAAGAAAATGATTTGAGATCTTTTCGCTGGATGTTCCCAAAGAATGTCATCGATGAGCTGGAGAATTCCACGGGACGTAAGTCGCCTGTGTTTTTGCAGACTGACGTCGTCCAAGGTGCCATCAACATCGTCATGTACCGGCACGAGGATTGGCGCAAAAAGTTGTTTGACACCGAGGTGGGCGCTCCACCTTCGACGGATGGCATCACGGCTGGAGTCTTGACCATCGGAAGGCTCGATGACGGCCGAGGTTTTGTGAGGGTCGACAATCGGCGTGGAAACGCTGAGCCACAGACCAACATGTCCAAATAATTAGTCTCAAGGACTCAGAACAGCTCCAAAGGGTCCTTGGCCTCCATCTCCTGATCTCTTCCTTGCCACGGCTTGTAGCACAGAGTTTTAATCCGTGGCCGGTCCCAGGTGACAGTGATTGGCACGCGTTGGCCTTTGCCTTGTAGCCTCACTGCAGAGCCGCGATAGCTCAGTTGGGAGAGCGTCAGACTGAAGATCTGAAGGTCCCCGGCTCGATCCCGGGACTCGATCCATGTCGTTTCTCAAGCAAAGCTGGAAGGGGTATAGCCTTTTTTACTCCTTAGATGCAATGGCCCACTCTTGTTGAAGCGAGAAAGTCGTGATGGCGGGTGGCTAAGTGAGGGGGCTTCGTGCTTAGACTGTTTGCGCGTGAGGTCATGACATTGTGAAGGGATATGTCGTGTGATCTCGTTTGCTGATGGCCGCACTTTTGGAGGCCTCTGTTACCATGCCACCTGTAAAGAACCCTAAAGAGGGCTTGAATCTTAGAAAAGCTCAGAACTTCAAGGTCGTAGCAGAGCTGCGAGGGGAGAGCAGAAGTCTGAGCTGCTTTCGAGCTCATGAGAAACCATAAGATGTGGTCACTTTACGCTTGAAGCCCTTTTTGTTCGAAGTGAAAAGGATCGTGCGGATCCTGCTGTGTGTATAATATGTTTGTGTTGCTTGTGGCCTCAAGTTGTTGTTAGCTGCTCGCTCTGCAGGTACACCCTTTGCTTCCATAGCGAAGCTGGAGAAGAAAAACTTGACTAGTTACAGTAACCGTGTGGGTCATTGTTGGTTATTCATGTCTAGTCATTTATTGAAGGATGCGCATGAAGCCAGGGCTCGTGGCAGGAGATGCCATAGTTTCCAGCAGGCCATCAGACGCAGCCAGCCGCGCCATGGACACATGCTCGTCTTTATGCAAGCCTGATCCGGAGGTTGATGGCAAGTACCATTCTGGCATCAAGGCATTTTAGGATTGCAAAAAATACTGCTACTGGCAAAGCTAGTCACCACGGTGATTGCAAAGCTCTGACTGGCATTTACGGTCACAGCTGTTGCGTAAGTGTACGGGAATACTTTATGATAAAGAAAGCATACCCTGTGTTTCTTTGCTTCTTCACATGCACGTACTCTGGTCACATTCGGGTCGAAATATCTCAGGAAAATGTGCAAGGCCAGTCTGACACAGTCAGATGTCCACGGTTTCTAGGAGCAAGAAGCTACTAGGAGCAATGTCCACGGTTCTCGAAGGACTTGGAATTGGAGAAAATACTTCACCCACAGGGACCCAGAGGCATCTTCTGTCTTTGGCTCACCCCATCACACCCCCATCCAGCTTACATGCTAGGTTCATATCATGCCGGCAAACAAATCCACAGCCCAAAGCTGGAGGAGACCCAGCAAAGTGGTCCGTGTTTGAAGTCTATGCCTATCGGAAGCATCACCTCCTCTGGGCTCTTCTAGTTTCAAACTACTCTGCCAACATGCATGGCCCAAGCTCCAACAAGTTCCAACTAATTCAGACCGTCATGAGTCAGATGCGTATCAAGCTCCTAGTAAATACGAAACTCCCCCTGCAGCATTCCACATTTCCACCGGCCAACCACATGGGCCCATAGGCATTTCATGGCATTTCCTCCCGGCTCTCCTGATGACCACGCTTTGGAAGTATGCTGTCCCAATGTAATGGCACCATGTCGCGTCTCACAGACCACACACCGGGACTTGAAGCTCCCAGGTTCCACCTCGGGAGCTGAACGTTTTTTCACTCGGCATGACAACTAACATAGATGCATTATTGTTCCTAGTAGCGTGGCACTTGTTACTAGAAGCGATGCACTTGTTACTAATAGCTTCTCGTTACTACTAGTAAGGCACTTGTTCCTAGTAGCGTGGCACTTGTTTCTACTAGCGAAGCTCCCAGGTTCCACCTCGGGAGCTGAACGTGAAAATCTCCAGTTGTTTTTCACTCGGCATGACTCGTCAACTGGCCCATCTCTGCGTCCCAAACAGGTGCCTACATGCCTACAAGGTGCCTACAGAAAGCTTTCATTGCTCTCGTCCTCTAACATGTTCTTTCTCCAAACTTAGGGTCCACGCCCATTCACCGGAGAAGATTGGAAGACCTGCCATCTCCAGGTGCGCTGCAAAGCCTACATGCCGATCCCCGACGGTGACGACGACCAAATATCCTCAGTGCAGCAGCGCGCCAGTGCGGTACAGGCGTGGACTCTTTCGCCCAGCACAGCTTCTTGTTACTAGTCGCGTTCTTGTTCCTAGTAGTAAGGCCAGG